TGCTTGTTAATTCATGCACCTGCTTTCAGGTAAAAACCCTGTTGTAGAGGTCTCAGTCCTCATTTGTTAGACTTACCTGTCTTTATAAATGTAACTTTCTCTCTCTCTCTCTCTCTCTCTCTCTCTCTCTCTCTCCCTCTCTCTCTCTCTCTCTCTCTCTCTCTCTCTCTCTCTCTCTCTCTCTCTCTCTCTCTCTCTCTCTCTCTCTCTCTCTCTCTCTCTCTCTCTCTCTCTCTCTCTCTCTCTCTCTCTCTCTCTCTCTCTCTCTCCCTCCCTCCCTCCCTCCCTCCCTCCCTCCCTCCCTCCCTCCCTCCCTCCCTCCTCTCTCTCTCTCTCTCTCTCTCTCTCTCTCTCTCTCTCTCTCTCTCTCTCTCTCTCTCTCTCTCTCTCTCTCTCTCTCTCTCTGTGTATGCGTGCGCAAGTGGCGATTCAGCCACAGTTCACGCACAGGTCCGTCCCTACAGGTGTCTTGCACAAGCTTTGAGATACACGGTGAAGTACTTTTGTGGATATTGACTTCCGCTGAGAAGTCAAGCGGCCACGGGACGCTGGCCTTGCAGCCTTGAGCACCGCCAGTCCATTTTTGCAGGTTACACGTATATGAACTGCAGTGCGTGCCACTCGTATATGAACTACAATGGGTGTACACGTTAAGAGGCAGTAAGGGTGTTGGCCCCGGTCATTCCAGCGGATTTCAAGGTCCACAACAGTAGCAAAATTGGTTTTTACCTTTTTATGCTGTGCTCACTGCAATCCAGATTTGAAGGCGCTGATCGCAAGCGACAACCAGCTGACATCGCTGCCAAAGCTCTCCAAGCTAACACAGCTGAACACACTTGGTGAGTTGTCTGTGATCAGAGTGGGCTTGCTTTACGCCGGACAGATTATAGCGTGACTAAGGCTGCGTTCGTTTTTGTCTACTTGGTAGAGTAGAGTAGAATGGACATTGGAAAAAGTCAAGACCGTAGATGGTAATTCACGAACGCTCATCTACTGTCAGGCAAGACTGTAAGTCAACAAATATTCGGCGCATATTTATTTTCGGCTGTATTCAGCCCGGGCGTTTTTGGCCGAAAATTTGTTGCGGCCGAAATTTCGTTTTGCAAGGTTTAGTGTGACAGTGTAGCAGTACAGACCGAATTTTAAATGCAACCGAAATTTGAGCGCACCGAAAATTTGTAGACTTGCAGTACCCATTCTGTAGAGCATCAGTGACTGTGAAGTCTGTTTTGCAATTTATTTTTTATTTTTTAAGGCCATCATTTTTTATATCTATGTTTCGCGTCGTCCGCACGCATACGTTTCGCCTTTTTTCGGAAAAAAAAATTGAACATGCACAGTGAGTGCACGATTGTGCAAATCATCAGTGTGGACTGGTTGCATACGGCGAAGCTGGGATTCAGAAATGGCCTCGAGGCCAGCGTTGGTAAATCGTTTGTTCGGCATCTGCGAGCAGTATTCTATGAGCATACATTGTACACCAGACCGCATCGATTGCCTCAAGCTGAGAGGATGCGTCGTTCCGGACCTCTTTGCACCGCTGCTGAAGTCTGAGTACAATAATCCAGCGAAGCATGGGCACCAACGGTTGCCTCCTCTGTCCAAAGTGAATATTTACTCATGCTGATAACCCAGATGTTGTGCTTGGATGTAGGATTTTTCTTTCGAATGTACACCATGCACGAGCTATTGTGCTATGTACAGTTCTAGCTAATTCTATACACCTCTGATGAGCCTTTTTTATTATTTTCCAATTTTTTATTTCTTTCCACCTCTCGCATATGATTCTGGAAGTTGAGCTGACGCGAAACATAGATATAAAAAATGATGGCCTAACGGTACGGTGTACAATATTTTGTGGAAACCAACTCTCATGGTCACACGATTACAGGCACAGAAGTACCGTACTTCTACCAACGTCTACCGACTTCTGCCGGCCTCACACCTGGTTGAGCCAGTAGAAGAAAGTAGAATATACTGTTTGGGGTAGAGAGAAAAATAACCCGAGTACGTCTACCGAATACTCATTGGTTTTATTTGAGGGAAAGATGCAAATGGGAAAAGTCTGAAGAAAATTTGACTGTCACCACCAGGACTTGAACCAGGGGCCTTCACTTGAGCATCTACGGAAAGCAGTACAGTCAACTTCGCTAATAACGACTGCGGATATAACGACAATTCGCGAATAACGACAGAATTTCCATGCCCAGAGCAAAGTCCCATCGAACTGAATACATAAAATGAGACTTCGGGTATAACGACACTTCGCAAATAAGGACACTTTTCTGATGCCCCGTCGAGTGTTGTTATGCGCAAGGTTGACTGTCGTTTCTACCGAAACCTGTTGATCAGAAAGGAGCGCCTCCTAACCCTAGGCATGCAAGAGGTGTTTGTTTGACCTGATGTTATTATCAACTTTTTTGAATTGTTCTTTAATTCTTTTACAGCCACATGCACAGTACTCATACTAGTGACTCTCTCTCCCAGGCGATCTCATGCTCAGATTAACTAATTTTAAAAAAATTCTTTGGCTAAGCGTTCAGTCTGCTTTCGGCAGTGAGACAATGATTTCGGTGAGAGAACTATAAGTTACAGATGTTCTTCTCGTATACAGTAGCGAATATAGGGATACAATTCCAAATTCTGTAGTGATGGTTGCATTGCCTGTTAGACTGGCAGTGGACTAGAAATGGTGTATTCTGCTTGCTGATTCCACCTTGCAGTGCTTTCTCGGAACCAGCTTGAGGATATTCCGCGCCTCCCGTCGTCCTTGACCAAGTTGTCTGCGCCGTCGAATCTGCTGACCAGTATTCCGGATGTCCACGTGAGTTTAGGATTGTCTGGTTCTCTGTCTGTGTGTGCACGCTCATCGTGTGTGACTGTATGTGTGTGTGTGTGTGTGTCTCTCTCTCTCTCTCTCTCTCTCTCTCTCTCTCTCTCTCTCTCTCTCTCTCTTTCACACACACACACACACACGCACACACACACACACACACACACACACACACACACACACGCTCTCTCTCTCTCTCTCTCTCTCTCTCTCTCTCTCTCTCTCTCTCTCTCTCTCTCTCTCTCTCTCTCTCTCTCTCTCTCTCTCTTTGTCTCTCTATTTCTCACCCTCTCCATGTCTGCGTACTATGACATACGTTTGTGTTTGTAGAAATGTGCTGACCTGATCGAGCTGCGCCTCAACAGCAATCGGCTGACGACCGTCAGCGAAAGCATTCTAGAGAACAAGAGGTGAGCACACTCGGTTGTAGTCCACCGCCATACCCGTCGTGAGGACTTCACCGGCACCTGGCTAGTCACCTGAGACTTCTGTGTACGGTCCCCTCAGTTTAACAGGCATACTCTACTCAATCTCCAACTCGGCTTGGTTGGCTCTCTGGTTGGCATCAAAGTGATCTGCCCGCGTGCAAGGCTCGCTGTGATTCTCGCAGTTAGAGCACTCTGACTTTGATACTGGCTTTGGGCCAATTTCTTAAAACACTTTGTTGTTGTTGCACTAGACCTCGTCGGTTTGGCCAGTGACTTTGAGCTGCGTTCATAAGACCTAACAGCAGGCGTGTAGCCTGCATGGAGCACGGGGGGGGGGGGGGGGGGGCATGTGCACTACCCCCTAAACATTTCGACCTAGGTTCAGCATGCATATAATGACTAGGAATGACCTGCACCAGCCATCCTACACATATGCGGCTGTGCACCCCCCCCCCCCCCCGGAAAAGGGGGGGACCAGCTACGCCCCTGTGACAGGGTCGAAGCAGCAAGCTTTCCAGTTATTATCTGTTACACAGTGAATAGTTTTAGCTTAGACTACAATCCAACGACACTCAACGAGAGAACAAGCTTCAGGCTTCAGCACTGGCTTTCAAGATACTGATTGGGAAAGTGTCTGTCTGTCTGTCTGTCTGTTTGTGCATGTGTGTCTGTTTGTGCATGTGTGTGTGTGTGTGCGTGCGTGCGTGCGTGTGTGTGTGTACTTGCATGTGTGTGTGCGTTGTGTTTCAGATTGTTTGTGGTGGACATCGGGAGGAACAATATCGCTTCGTTTGAGTAAGCACTCGGTCAAACTTGCAGGCTTAAGAGGTTCACAGTTGTCACTGTGCCCGTATATGTACGTCGTTTATTCAATCTGCGGGCAGAACTGTTTCTTCCTTTGTGGACTCATCAGCGCAGCACAGAGGAAATGAAGCCGAACCTGATAGCAATGAAAAATAAATTTTCAAAAGCCAGATTTAAACCAGGCCCGAATGTACCTTGCCAGAGTGTGCAAACTGACAAGTCAGTGAGCTCTGCATAACGCAAACAGCAAGGCAGTACCCCACACAAGAGTGCTCAACTGCTACAAGAGCAGGAGCTAAATACTCAATCTGCGGGCAGAACTGTTTCTTCCTTTGTGGACTCATCAGCGCAGCACAGAGGAAATGAGGCCGACCCTGATAGCAATGAAAGATAAATTTTCGTCGTTTATCCGAGCCATCCAGGACCGAACGCCGTGTGTAACATTGAAATATTGAAATATTCGTATTTAAACTCTGAGTCACATAATGTAAAACGGGCAGCCTGTGCTATCTGGAATCCTTCGCGCCGTGTATTATTCTGTTCCTGGTGTGCCTGTCCTTGCCTGGAGATTCGTTTTGCTCTAATTGCTCATAGTCACAAGAACAAACCAGGAGGGAGGAAGAAGAAAAATAGGAAAGTTTTAAAAGTCTTCGGCGGCTTCATCTGAAGAAAATTTCTTTCAATGAATGCATTCGGCCACGGAACACTACACATGTGTATGACTTCTGCTCGACTTGTTCTAGTAACACAGCTATGTAATCTCACACTTGATGTCACCTTGTTTTCTGCGGTGTCCTTGCCGTCCGCTTGCAGCGACGTGGACTGTCTTGGCCGCTTGAAGTCGCTGCGTAACTTCAGTCTCCAGGGCAACCGAGTGTGCGACTCCCCCGACTACGCAGAGAAGGTGCGATTGGTGTTGAAATTCAGTGACTTCACTGCTGGCTACTATCATTATTCTGTTGTTTGTTGCAGGGCGTATACAGACTGTCGGTCGCCGAAGAATTGGGGGTCAGCCTCCTAGCCTAGACTGCTCTTTAATATTTTCATCAGGAGTACATAACCCCCAAGAGTGTGCAACTCCAGCTATGGGGTCTGCGACGGCAGAACTTCACATCACGTGATGAACCCGTACACATTACTTGCAATCTGTGCATGATAGATACAGGTGTTGGACGCAACCCAGCTTTGCATACAACTCTCTTGTGGTCGCTTTGCATTGTTTTCCAGCGTAGCCTTTTGAACCATGTCACGTGATGTGAAGTTCTGTCGTCGCAGCACTATATAGAGGTTGTGCAGGCAGTTGCACAATCTCGGGGGTTATGTACTCTTGATTTCATCAAGAGTACATAACCCCCCGAGAGTGTGCAACTCCACTATGGGTGCTGTCCCGACAGAATGTCAAGTTGACGTCATGTTGATGATGCAATGCGCACTGTACACGGATTATCAGACGAATCCGGAACCTGTGGTTGACCGAAGCCGATGGATCCTGTACAAATTATTGCAAAGAAAAACGTGTGATGCGTTGACACCCGTACACATGTTGTAAATCACTGGGGCACGGAGCATTGCGTCATAAATAATGACGTCAACTTGAAATTCTGTCGGGACAGCAGGGTATGTGGGAGTTGCACACTCTGGGGGGTTATGTACTCTTGGTTTCATGCATTACAATCTATGCACAGGTGAGTCACCGTGTGCACATTGCTATGCTGTGCTTGGCGAAATTCTAGCCTGGTCGTTCTTCCGCGCTCTGTTCTCCGTCACTCCGTTCTTCTCCGCCCGACAGTACTGTTTGCACACAGAACAATGTTTGTAGTGCACTTTAAGATGTTGCAGTATGTGATGCATTTGTGTGCGCTCATGCGTTGGCCATGGCGATCATACTGCAATTTCTGTGCTGCTGTTTTCATTCGTGGTGGGTTGTTATGGTGCTGCTGTCACTGGAATTGTGTTATGTCATTTTTGTCAACTTACAGTCCATTTCAAAACTATAGACGCGTAGGGTTTTTGAAATATTTCAAATATGGCTGGAGCTTTTTGAGAATAGTTTTCGGAATATTGCTCAGGTCTGCTCCACAATTACTCTCATATAGTTTCTAAACGATTGGATAACAGACGCCCAATTTGGAAAAATTTATGCACAAAGTGATCACAGATTTTATGTGGTATCGATGCTGGCATAACGGTTTTTGCCTAGGTACGCGTCTATAGTTTTGAAATGGACTGTAGTCTTGTTGGAATCATTGTTATTCCGAACCCTGTGTGGGTGGGGATGTTGCGGTCTAGATGTGGGTGTGTGGGTGCCTGTCTGTCTGTGAGAGGGGGGGGGGGGATGAGAGTGTGTGTGTGGAGGCGTACGTGTGTGCGTGCGAGTATTCCTATCCATCTTTTATTGTGAATATGAGTGTGTATCTGTTTGGTGTTCGATTGCTTCAGCTGAAGGAGCTCCTGCCGCAAGTGAGGATTTTCGATGGTCGAAAGCGGACAGGTAAGATGGCTTGGAGTGTCGATGAGGATGTGCAGCCATCTACTAGTATATCTATATGATAACGCTGAAGACGGATGAGAGTACTCATGGCTGGTGTTGATCGCCCTTTTTCCGGAGTATAAGCCGCTCTCTGAACACACAAAATGCACCCAAATTAAGGGTGGGGGGGGGGGGAGGGTGCTGCTTATACTCCGACTGTCAAATTAACAGTAATAAATAGAGTAGATGTCTGTATTTCGTGACAAAGAATGGGGGTGCAACTTATACAGGGTCCGCACCACTCCTTGAATTCCTTGAAAGTCCTTGAATGTCAAAGCCGGATTTGAAAGTGCTTGAATATCCTTGAATTTTCGTGTGGGTGCTTGAATTTTTGAAAAAAGTGTGTTTTTCCTTGATTTTGGGTTTGAATGCGGTAGATCTACTCACGTTCATGCAGTAGGTCTACGCGCACTGCTGGGTACCCGTAACCGATACCGTAGTCCGTAGATCTAGTACCAAGAGTGGATCCACTCTTGGTAGTACTGATAGGGATCTCAGCGCGTGAGCTGCGCAGCCTGTTTGCGCAGGTGAGATTTTCGATCCCAAACGCGTCCAGTGCAGAAACCCTGAAAAATAACATTTTTTTCGAAATAAATCAAGTTGAAGAAGACGGTAGAAATGGCTGAATATTGCGTCCAGGAAAGCACGTTCTACGGCCATTTCCAAGTTACCTATCTCCCAGGCACTCTCTCAGAGGAACTATGGAGGGTCAAAGAGCACAATAGTTCACTCTTGGACGCAGCGTGAACACCTCTTCTTCTGAGCGCGATGTCTTCTCTCTGAGTGATAATGGCGGCGATGTTCCAACCAACGGTTAGCCCACCAACTATTGTCCTTGTATGTCCTTGAAAAAATGGGGTTTGGGGCCCTTGAAAACCCTTGAATAATATTTTCATGAACCCTGTTATACATGTACTCCAGTGTGGCTTATACTCTGGACAATACGGTTTATCTATATCCCTGTGTGTGTGTGTGTGTGTGTGTGTGTGTGTGTGTGTGTGTGTGTGTGTGTGTTGGTGTTGGTGTTGGTGTGTGTGTGTGTGTGTGTGTGTGTGTGTGTGTGTGTGTGTGTGTGTGTGTGTGTGTGTGTGTGTTGTGCCAGCTAGTTCGGTTGGTGGGTACACTTATGCCGGATTGTGTTGGGTCTGTTGCCAACGGGCTCGGCTGCTTGAAGGTGTAATGTTGTTTACACGACAACGCCCGAAAATGATACGTAAACGGAACGAAATGGAAACGCACTTCAAAGTGTTTTGAAACTTTTTCAAAACGTTTTCGTTCTCGTGTTAACGGTGAAAACAGTGGACACGATTGGAAACGGAGCGCGGTCATGGAAACCATTCCGTGCGGGACTGTATTTCGCGAGAAATACCCAACCCCTGCGACCACCAGCACGTACCAACTCCAACTAACGTGTTACTTCCCGCCCTTGCGGCAAGCCAGCACGTACTAGCTCCAGCCTGCCCGCCTGTTTTCCGTTTTCGTGTAAACTGTTCAAAGCGATTTGCCGTTCTCATGTAAACGGTGTGAAAACGATTCAAAGTTTTCGTTCCGTTTTGTTTTGTTTCGTTTCGGTTTGTCTCCGTGTAAACGTAACCTTAGTAAAAGTGTACTTCTTTTGATTTTCAGTATGTCACATCATTTTTTCTCCTTTGTGCGTTTTGACACTAACCCCTGGCATCGTGTTCGCCTTCATTGTTTCACACCCTCTCTCCCAGATCTTCCACATCTGGTCAAGTCCGTGGGACAAGCTACGAACTCCGAGGCTGCCCGCACTGCCGACGACGCTGAAGAAGATGGCGGTACAGGTCGCCAGCAAACACCCGCCTCCGACTCACCAACGAAGCAGGCCAGTTTGCCTACAAGCCATGCTGACACACCGCAGGCGAGGAAGAAGAAGAAACAAGCGGACGCGTCCAACGTCACTTCGGCCCATGGCAAGGTAGCGCGAGCATCCGAGAGCGGTGAAGCTGCTCCTAGCGCGTCAAAGTCAAAGCAGGCTTCCTTGGCGGCTGTCGACAGCGAGTTGGCAGGGGACACCGCAGCCATGCCTTCAACCCCGACAAAGCAAAAGAAAAGTAAGAAGCCAAAGAACCGCCCTGTTGCGGAAGATGAGAGCTCTGATGTGGTGAATTCCGAGCACGCTTCACCTCTTGCTGCATCTCCAGTCAAGCGGAAAACCGAGCATTCGAAGCAGACACCAGTCAAGGATGAAGTGAGCTCCAGTAAGACAAGTGCCCAGCATACTTCACCCAACATGGCGACTAGCGGTGAGGCAGAAGGCACCACAGAGGCCAGCATAGCGACCCCGACAAAGCACAACAAGGACAAGAAGCTGAAACGGCAGCGCAAGGAGGACAAGGAGAGTGTTGGTACATCTTCAGCCACAACAGCAGCAGCAGCAGCCACAGTACCAGGAGCAACAGCAGCAGCAGCCGTAGACACTGAGACCACTTTGCCTGCAGGATCCATTGTCAGCGCAAAGTCAAAGAAACGTAAGCATGACTCTGCGGAAGCGACGGCTGACGAGCCAACGGAAATGTCCGCACAGGCTATGGCCGCCGTAAACCATTGCAAGAAGGCCAAATCACCTGCCGACAAAGCACTGCAATCTACTCCGTCCGCTGCTAAAACGCCTTGCCCTGGAGAAACTAGCAGCCCCAAGAAACGCTCCAGAGTCAGTCAAGCTGCGGAGCTGGTCGCCTCACCGGCCAAGAAACACACAGCTACTTCTTCGCAGTCTGTTCTTGAGGAGCCGGAAGCTGTGCCAACCGGCAAGCAAAAGAAGCGTAAGCGACCCGATAGTGATTCCGTCGAGTCGACACCTTTGGTCGGTGATGCCGGCAGCAAGAACAGTCCCAAGAAGAAGAGAAAAGCAAGCGAGTCTGTCGAGTCAACGCCTCTCGTCAGTACTGCTGGCAGCCACGAGAGTCCCAAGAAGAAGAGAAAAGCATCGCTGTCTACTTCCCTACCGGACATCGCCAGCACACCGTCCAGGGACGGAGGTGACTCCAGCGGTGGCGAACTGGACCTGTCGGATCTTCTCGCTGACGGTCATGCCACGTCTTCTGCCGCCGCGCCGGTCAACCCATCCGCCAGCGCTTTGTCGTCGACGGAACGTCTCCATAGGGAACGTCTTGACAGGGAAGAGGAAAAGGCCGTGTCGGTAACAAAGCATCCTCACTCCGGTGTCAAAGCTATGAAGATGGCCATGGATAAAGGAGCAGTGGCGCGTGGTAGGAAATCTGCGACCAAGTCGATACCGCCCAAGGCCCCGGGGACGGAATTCGATCCAACTAGCCTGCATGCCGAAAGCGACTTTGGTCTTGGAGATGCATCATCGTGGTAGTTAGATCATGTCACTGCAGCCTGAAAGGTATGATGTCATCCTATGGACAGATGATGGTGTCATCAATGACTCATCATGATGTACAGATGATGTCATTGTGACCTTTATTTTCTCGTATTCTCACTTGAATGTCTGTCTATGACTATGATACATGTACTTGGGCGTACATATGAAAGAGGCACAGCTTGTTGTGCAAGTTGATGCTCTGAAGCTATTTCTGCTAGCATGTTATGTTCTCCTTTTGCCTGTTATTTCCGCGGGTAAGCCTTGAGCGCGAGTGCGTGCGTGTGTGTGTGTGGGGGGGGGGGGGGTGGTGTGTGTGTGGGGGGGGGGGGGGTGGGGGGGGGGGGGTGTATGCCCGTACTCCGCAGTGCACGTTGGCCTGAACGGGTGTCGTCAGGGGAACAGCAAACCCCAAACTGGCATGTAGGTGTGAGCGATATTGTCCATACGGTTTAGTCCTGTATAGCAGAGTGATGTTGTGCCGTCCAGAGGGGATTTCAAATGTCTATGTAGTGTCGAGGTTTGCGTTCAAGAAAAGGTCGCCAATAACAACAGTTTGCACAGCCTTCGAAATTCCCAAAGCCCTGCAAATGTCACAGGTTATCTTTTCACCAAGGACACTGGAAAGGCAACGGATGTGTACGAGACTCGTACTGAATGTTGATGACCTGGCCATGCCACTGAAGGCTACTGTATACCATAGTGTCTTGTGTAGAAGCCTAATGTCTCATAAATTATAGAAGCCTGTTTTGAATACAAGCCTCATCTTCGAGATACGCTGTCGGCACAGTAGCCTGGTTTTAGTGTTGACACACATAGAAATACCTGGTTTGAATAGAAGCCTGATGTGAATAGACGCCTAGCCCTGGGATTGGCTTCTACAGGAATATGCCTGGCTATTCACGATATTACGGTAATCGTCCATCTGCTTGCTTTCTCGACTTGGTCTTCGGCAAAGACTTTTAAAAGAAGTAATTGCAACGTGAGTCGCTGGTGCAAGTGTAGCGCATTGCCGCGAGTGCGCAACTTCACCAAAGCATCTCAACTGAGGCAGACATCTACCATTTTACAGCCCGTATCGCCTATAAAGTTGGCGGCTATAGTATTATACTGGATAATTATAGTGATCAATTTCTCACATTCATTTTCATTTGCCATAACTAAGTATACACAGTTATCGCGTATAGTAATAATCGTCTATAGTAATATATCGCCTATAGTGATCAAATTCATATTTCAAAAGACCTTTTTTACATTAGTTTTGCATCGATTATAGTAATTGTTGTAAAATCAAGTGGTGTCAGAGGAGAACAGGGTGTTACTTCTTCGTGAAGAACTAACTTATCCAGTGTTGTTTGGTGAGTCCTGCTTGTACAAGTTGCCAAATATGCCTCCATCGTGAGGAAATGCTGATGTTGTGTGACATGAGCTGTAGCCAGCTATGCAGTCCGTATGTGCACGGCTCCCTGAGTCGTTTGACATCCCACTCGCATACATTTCATGCAGTATCGGTCATAGTGATATTATATCGCTTATAGTGATAAAAATGCTCAAAATCAAACACCAACGCTATAGGCGCTACTGACTGTATCACCATAAATTTGACCATCGGAGTATAAGCCTCATGCACCCCCCCCCCCCCCCCCCCCTATTTGGGTGAATTTTGAGTGTTCAAAGTGCGACTTGTGAGTACACAGCCTGTTGTGGCGGGGAGCAGTGCAGCAAGAAGGAGCCACGTCACGGCCCGGGTGTATGTGATCCCCGGTAGCCTAGTCGGTACGAGGTAACTGTCCTGGAAAGACTGGTGCTGGGTTTGAAATCAGCTCGTGGATCCCTCTCTTGCAACACAATACAGGTTTTCCTTGTTCAGCAGTGGCTATACTCCTGACACTACTCACGAGTGTGATTCCCAGCAAATACGTACGAAGACTAGAACTGCATGGGAACGTTTTGTCATCCCAGTACAAGTACTAGACAATCCTATTACTATTAGTGGAAGATTCACACCAGCTTGCCAGGCAGTCCACACCGCAAAGGGTGATACTGATCCACAAGTGAAGTGCACAGAAGAGCTTGAAAGTGAGAGAAACCAAGTCGACTTTGAAAGGAAAAATATCAGGGTGCGTACACCATGGTACACAATTGCATGAGGAAGATTTATTAAAGTCCAATGACATCATTCAACCCTGGGTTCAATGCACTATGAGGTCATCCAGACCTAGATAATATATCTAGATATCAAAAGCAATGCGGTCACCCAGACCTAGATATCAAAAGCAATGATGTCATCAAGTCTAGGCATAGCATTGTAGCCTTGTAGCAAGGCACAAGGTGATGCAGTCCGTTACATGTACAGGTAGGTACATGACTGTATAACAAACAATAGAGAAATGGTAAAATAGGATTTGTGAACAGCATGATCATGATCAGAGGCAAGGAAACCGAATTCTGCGAGTGCATTGTCATTGCATTGTCATTGTATGTATTGATATGTACAGGTAATGTAAGGGTGGAGTTACTCTAGCATTATAGTACATGTGCTACATAGCAAAGTAGAGAAGATCTGAAAGGAAAACACCGAGTTACAAACAAACATCAGTTAATCAAAAATATCAAGTACAGAATTTGAACAGGGAAAGGCAGTAGTTCTGTGCTGCCTATATCCTGCTCAAATGTTCATATTCAGGGTGTAGAGCTGGCCATCGCCTGTACTGAGCACCACTACTCCGTTGAGTAGTGCTAGTGATGATGCCCTACACCGTCCACACAGTGCACTGGGCAACTCATAGACGCAATGTGTACGTACATTGTACACAGTACACTGTGAGGCTGAATCATAACTGGCAATGACTAGACTATCATCAGACAGTGAACATGCCTGGCTGAACTGCAGGTCTACACCATCTGGTTTTACAGCCTCTTGCCAATGACCATCATCAGTGTACTGGAGGAAACACCCAGTGTCACCACCAATGATGTACAGTGAACCATGACAGGCTACAAGTGAGGCATATGCACAGTCACATGGAAGAGCAGGTAGTGAATGTGAGGGGACTGCAGAGGATTTCCACTGCTCGTCAAGAAGTGTGTAACAGCTAACATGGTTGACAGCTCTCAAAAAAAGGAAAGACCTCTTCATGCCTCCTAGAAGACTAACACTAGTGTCAGTAGCATGTACAACACAGCCACGGTACTGGCCATACGCCGGCACCTTTGCTACTTCCACCCACTGCCTATCATGCTGATCGTACTGCAGTAGAACAGGCTGATCTTGGTTGTCATGACAATACATGTACAAAGCCTGACCATTGCTAGCTAGGGATGGGTATTGAAATGGACCACCATGACGTGGAAGAGGAAGGTCAGTCCAGTGACGTACGTCTGTAGTCTGCTGGATGCTAGAAATGCGGGAAACTTCATTTAACCAGACAGCAACGAAAGTGTTATTGTGGATGATGTGTTTTGGTGAACGACCACGACTGGATTCTGCTTTGATCCACTGGAGAACACACGCACGCATGCACGCACACACACACACACACACACACACACACACACACACACACACACACACACACACACACACACACACACACACACACACACACACACACACACACACACACACACACACACACACACACACACACACACACACACACACACACACACACACACACACACACACACACACACACACACACACACACACACACACACACACACACACACACACACACACACACACACACAGTACAGCACAATGGCACAGGGAACAAACAGAAAATCAGTATCTACATGTCACATTGTGTAATGGACTACAGGCCCGTTGCAGCCTCATTTTGGTTGTTCAGGCAAAATCTGATCTCAATTACTCCCCACCCCCCGACCAGCACCACTACCACCGTCACTTGCACAAACAGATACTTTCATCAAATACCATGCATGTATGTATAGTAGTGTCTTTGTGCACTGCGGCGGTGCCCAAATTCTGGAAACTGTTAGTGTGTATGAGTACACAATGTACACAGCTAAAGAAGCATGTTTGCCACGTTGCAGAGCATGCACGCATCTCATGTTGAGCCCTGGAAATCTTTTGATGATCGCAAGAATTGCTTACAAATATAACAGAACTATCAGTCATTATCGATGCGGCAATGAAGGGAATTGAACCATACGTCGAACGTCGAGTATAGTCGCAGGCACAGATGTAAGCGGATTGTGCTCGGGAAATGACCAGATTATGCTCTAGCGGATGTGAAAAGTAAAATTACAACGGAAGTCGGAGGCGACGAAAATATATTCCGGAACAAAGTCAAGTTCGCATGCATCCATGCAATCAATGCATCCAGTCAAGAAGACACTTCATATCAGATATCAAACTTTATTTTCCGTTCTCGTCAGGATTATACAAAAAAATCACGGTTCGTTTTCCGCATCCGCAGGAACGCCACCACCCTCTTGGATCCAGGTGCAGATGCACCTACTAAAGCAGTTGGAGGTGAGTAGATCAGACCCACCACAAAGTGGTCAAAGACCAAAAATCCCATTCACTGCATCCATGTTTCCCTCATGCCAGGTCACAACGGACCACCACTGACTACAAGTTCTAGTGGAAAAGTACTGACATACATAATATACAATACTGGTGACAAGGTAGGAATACAAGTTGATAAATGTCTACCTTGTTATGAGTGTTGTATCTCATTTACGCTAGAAGTAGTAGTCATTATTTTTCATTTCAGCCTTTTCGTGTATAATCCTGACGAGAAGGGATCAAAGACGTTTGATATCTGGTATAAAGTGTCTTCTGGACTGGATGCGTTGATTGCGTGGATGCATCTGAACTTGATTTTGTTCTGAAAGTTAAACTGGTGATAATTTAAAGATGTGATACTATTATTCAGGTATGAAATTGATAGACGACACAGCATAGCAAGTAGCAATGCCGCGAGAGGCCCCGGGGTATGTACTCCCGGTCCACACCCTCACAACAGCACTCCACAGCAGTATCATGGAAACTGAAGAATGCCAGTGATGTGAGGACGGTGCTGTGCTGTGCTGTGGTGAGGGAGTGGACAGAGTGTATGACCCAGAGGCCCCTCGTGTTGCTACTTGCAATGCTGTGCTGTCTATGAAATTCACACCTGGGTATTAGCACCATCAACTCCTATTATCACGTCTGTACATTATACCCAGTTCAGTTTTCACAGTGTTTTGCACTTAGTTTTTTTTTCAGCCCTATTCTTCTCGCCTTCCCCTCAGTCCAAAAAACGGTGATTTTCACTATCTTGGCCATTCTACAATATCTACATTCAGTGACGAGAGTTAAAATAACTCGAAACAACTATACGAAGGAACTTGATACCAACTGCTGTGCCGCTTTTTAATGGTGTGCTGTGGCAACATGTCGAGGTCAGCTGGAGATCGCAGTTGTGGTGTGGTGGTTGACGAAAAAACTTAAACTCGTATAAAAATATATTCCAAAATCCCCAATACGGCTGTTGTTAGTATTCCAAGGATCGGATCTAAAAGAAAAATACACAGACAGAATATGTGCTGCACAGTCTTTGACCTCCATTGTCTTGTGTCCACATAATTATAGTGTGCTGTGTTTCTCTCCCTGATCATCTTGATTTTAATCTGGTTCCTCCTTGGACAATATTATCTGACAATGAAAGTTTGGGGCACCAGGGACATGGTCTAGTGGTTGTTTTGATAATAACGAATTTAAAGTACTAATGAATAATGTTGTAAACGGATCTAAAGACATAGACCACGCGTCGGCAGGGCATTTCAGTTTTCTATCCACTGGCAGGGTTTAATAACTAGCCGGACCTGCTCTACTGAGGTAGGACCTGATCCACACAGCAAAATCATGGGGGGAGGGGGGAGGAGAAAGAGAACAAATCCAAACACGTTGTACTATACCTTTCTGTGCATTGTGATGCGCTGAATATTTTCCGGTGTGATAGTCAGAGAATGTGCGGCTGGTACAGCAGAGTGCTGTCTAGAACTGTCACCAACCTACACATGTCAACAGGGCAGAACATGAATAGTGACAGGTAAGCAACACACACACATACGCACAATAACATACATACACACACACACATACACACACATACACATATATTAGTACGCACATGAACATGCAAACAGATGCACACACACGAACATGAAAGCAGATGCCCACACACACACATAATTATTATACTTGACTGTTTGTACGCATGTATAGTGAGTACACATACTTGTACTTGTACTTGCTCACTGCCAAAACTGGTCACGTGGTCTTCCCAGGAGAGGGGAGAGAGATTCAAAAGGAATATTCGAACAATAACTCAATTGGTTATTGAACTGCTCAACGGCTGTGTTGTCCCTGCCCTTTTGGAGGGTATGTGCCCCTTTTGGCACGTGTGTGCTGGGTCCGCGTGGTCGGTGTGCGGCCTGCGCAGGTTGTGCATGCCTGCATATTATTGTACGCACTCTTGTTGTTTGTGGCCTTCTTCTTGAGACTCTCTTTGAAGCAACGACAATAATCAGTCCTCTGAGTGTTGTGCACGTGTGATGCAAGACATAAGAGAGTAATCGGAAGGGCTATTGTCGAGACATAAAAACCCCCGATGACAATTGGCGCCCAGCTAGTGGCATCGTTCCCCACGACCCTGAGATCGTTTTCGTTTTCGCCGTGGCTTCAAATCTTGTCTTCTGTGCAAAGCGGAGCCATGGCGAGGACGCGTGGGCGTCCTCGCCATGGCTCCGCTTTGCTCCATCTGCTCAAACCTGTCTTCGGAGCTCCTACTCAGGTGAGCCTGCATTGTCTGCCCTGCGTAATGTTTTTTACCTTGTACGTAGTTCTCCTGGTACTAGTCTTCGATTTGGGATTTTCAAATAATTGTTTCGCTTCGTGGCATTGAAGTCCCGTGTTGTTCTCTTGTGTACAAGTACTCTCGTTCGAACCTCGCTCCTGTTAGTACATGATTGTGGCCCACGTTGTGTGTGTCACTTTTCGAGTGCTTGTGTGTGCGGTGTTTTGAACCAGTGTACGTTCAGGGCTCACCACGACCATACAAAGTGTCAATAACGGTCATTTGGATTTGACCAATCAGCGCACGGCAAAACGGACCGTTTCTTGCAAGTGTGGGGTGTTTTCTGAGCTCAACTTGGCTGTACTCGTTGGTATTAGACATTAGGCCATTGTGGATTCGTGTTCAGAAGGTGTGTCTTTGGAGGGTTACCGTCTCGAATTTTTCGATTTGGCCTTCGTTTGCCTGAGATCGGATGGTGAAATCACTCAAACTTGAAGACGTGCGAACAAGTGAATGAAGACAAAATATAAAAATCGGAGACGGTAAACCGATAGAGAATTCCAAGACCTTAAAAATGAGCTATCGACGGTGAGAATCGGCCAAGTTGACCCGCTGAAGCACTTTTTTGAAGACATCAAGGTCGGCCGCGCGCACCAACAAAACCAGGCAGCCGTGCGCATATCTGCAAGTGCAACAAGAAAGGACCGAGGAGACAGCAAGGGTTCCAAGTGAAGAGTTTACCGTCCTTCGTGCTGACTCAAGCTAAGGACTCAGGCCAGTCAGGGATCATACCAGTCACTTGTCATCATGGTCATGACTAAGAAATTCAATAGTGGCAAGGAAACTCCACACTCGCAGGGCGAAAGCAGCGAGGTCAAACAGAAAAGAGTTTGCCGAGCCGTGATCAGGAAACGCTGAGTTCAACTGACAACATTGGTTAGCTAGGAGCGGCAAAATCGTGTAGATGCCAGGACTCCAGTATCTCACGGACATATCTTGGTAGGCATGCACCAGTGGATGGAGAAAAATGACCAAGATGGCTTGGAGAAAGGACGTCTTCTCTTCGTGTCTTTCCCGGCATCAAACAACAAGATTCTCTTCGGCACTGGCCCTTCGCTGCACAGACAGGACCAGGGAGTCGTAAAATACTTGTATTTTACAACTCTACTGTACATCCCTGTACATTGATCACCACGAACTCGGGTGCGTAGCCGCTATGACTGCACCAACGCTGGCCTGCGCGGCAATCGCCATGTTTCAAAATGGTGGTCGACACTTTTTGAATTTTGTATGGTCGTGGTGAGCCCTGACGTTGTCGCCCTCCGGCCTCTGGCTGTTCGAGTGGTCGTGTGCACTGTGTTTTCATACCTTCTGTTGTCCGTGTTGTCGTGCATGCTCATCTTGTTGCTTGGTAGTCAGCATGGGTAGCTTTGCTCGTGTTTGCTTACTCGCCCTGTGTTGTGCACTGGTGCACGTCGTTGCGTTGTCGTCGGATTGCTCCGATCCTGTGTCAATCGATTGGTTTGGTAGATGTCCCCATCGATTTTCTCGATGTGGTGAGTCTGGTGACACTCGTACTCCGTCGTTTCCAGTTTCAGGTACATGTCCTTTCTTTTTCATTTTACTCGTATCCATGTTTTGTGTCGAGCGTTTTAGTGCTCCGCCTGATTGTCCCGCTCATGTGGAATGGCTGTCGCCCAGTGGTGTAACATGCTTCTGAGATTCTCGTTGACAGTCCGGGTGGCAATATTTCTGTGAGCGTGTTGTTTGGTCTTTGTGTTTTGGCACGTGGGTCTCTCCATTTCACCTAGGGGGGGCGTCCGATCATGGTGAGCCACGGTCTGCCTGGTGGGCTGGTGGGATCCGGCGCTTATTTGTATCGGTTCACCTTGCGGGTGTTCGGTTTCCGTGTTTTGCTGGCTGGCCTTTGTGCGTCCCAGTGGGGTTCAGGACGGTGTTTTTTTGGGTTTCGTGAGCGGATGTGTTTCACGCGTGATATTCAGGTTCAATCCCTGTGGGTTTTTTCAGGTTAAGCCTAGTTCACATTCGACGCAATGCCGACGGTACGGGACGTAAGGGCTTGTCGAGCGCTGGGGTGAGCTGTAAAATCCTGTACGATTCGTACGACACGACATGCAGCAGTCGTTGCGACGTTCAACGTCAAACGGCGCAAGTCATAAGGCACGGTCCGTGACAGGGTGACTTTCGGACCTAATTTCTCGTTTTTCGGGACTTCTTTTCAATTATTTCTCCTTGAAAGAAGCGGAATCAAGTTCACAATACCAGTTTTTCATGAAGACCAAAAAATTAGCTCTGAAAGTTGTGGCATTCAAATAATAGCCCCAGGAAATGATAGAATAGTTCGTCTGTCACGCTTCTGAACTATCCCTAAATACAATAAGTGACATGAGATCTTATGTTGCTAAAATTCAACTCAAGTCGTGCTAGCCATTCTGTGAGTTATCATGGGAAGCGCAGTATTCGAAATGCTAAAAATTTCCAAGTACGAATCGGGAGTAGTCGGCGCACGGCGCCGTCTCCTGTTCACACTCGAATTGCAGCCGTTTTGTACGCTTGTGTCCCCGTCTACGCCTGTCTACGGTATGAAAAGTTGGATCGATCCAACTCTTCCCGTCGCTTCCCGATCTGTACGGTAGTACGGTTGCGTTCCCGTTCCTTGTGTTCACATTGGACGCCGTCAGTCCGTCCCGTCGCTTCCCGTCGATCCTTACGTCGCGACCCGTCGCGCCCCGTCGAATGTGAACTAGGCTTTAGAGGCCTGTGGGTTTTTCAGGTTAGAGGCCTGTGGTTATTCAAGGTAGCGCCCTGTGGTTTTTCTATGTTAATTTTTGTTTGCGTATTGGTGACCGATTTGTTTATGTGCTATCTGGTGTCCTCATTGATAGACTGCCCCTGTTTCCGTAGGCGTGTTCAACGTTGCCGTTCTGCCGTTCCTTTTTGTGTTTTTTTTGTCTGAATTTTGGCTCCTGGTATTGCTGAGATGTTTGCGTCAGTCCGTGTTTCTTTCTTTCTGTGTGTGTCTCTGTGAGTTTCCGTAGCCCCGTCGGCTGCGTGATGGTTTTCCGGACAACTCCTGTGCTGTCAGATGACTGGTCACCCGGTTCAGCTGCCGCGGTCTTCGCAGTACCGTCGGTTTGCCTTGGCTTCGCACCAAGGCGGGGTGGTTGTTTTCCGGGGGCCCACGCCTGAAAGTATGGCCGTTCCCTCTATGGGTGGGCCCAGTCTGTTTTCTTTCCACCCCTTTGCTTTGGCTTTTCCCCCATTGTCCGGAGTTACTAATGTATCCTACTGTTTTGGCCCTGCGTACCTGCATGTGTATGTTGTTCACATTTGATTTCTTTTTCTCCTGTCTGTCTTCTCGTTTTTTCTCTCCCATCATCAGGAGAGGATGCATTTTTTCATGTGGCCGTATGTTGTCCCTGCCCTTTGGAGGGTATGTGCCCCTTTTGGCACGTATGTGCTGGGTCCGCGTGGTCGGTGTGCGGCCTGCGCAGGTTGCGCATGCCTGCATATTATTGTACGCACTCTTGTTGTTTGTGGCCTTCTTCTTGAGACTCTCTTTGAAGCAACGACAATAATCAGTCCTCTGAGTGTTGTGCACGTGTGATGCAAGACATAAGAGAGTAATCGGAAGGTCTATCGTCGAGGCATAAAACCCCCCGACGACAGCTGTCACCCCCTGAAAATCCCCAAACTCTTGATAGACTTGGAAATGATCCCACACCGCGGTAAGTGGGCAAGAACAAGGTGCAGAAAAAGGATTGACGGCATTCGAATACACATGGACACATTTAAAATTGGTGAAAATCAAGGATCTGTGGCATTTTTGAGGAAACGGACAAATTTAGCCCAAAATGATGTGTAGTAGGACCCATGGTCGTGCGCACACGCACATACACTCATATGCCTGCTCAACAACCCAAACTCCACCCCAGAACGACCATTTAATCCCCACCCCCCTCCTCCCCCCAATTGTCCCCCCTCCAAATTATTATTATTATTATTATTATTATTATTATTATTATTATTATTATTATTATTATTATTATTTATTCATATTTTACTATGGCAGTCCCCACAGACCTATGGTCTTCTTACAGGGTGCCCTAGCCACGTGAAGATAGCGGAGCGAAATGCAGCAGGTAGGGATATGGTGCGAATCGCGGCAGGGAGGGCGTTCCATCGGTCAGCTCCAAGATAAGATACAGAGTGATAGCCAAAATACAATCTGGCATGGGGCAGTACCAGGCCGAGCAATTCCTGAGAACGGGTAATTCTAGCAGTGCGGGATAATGAGACAGCACGAGGAGTGAAAAGTCGGCAAAGTAGGGGACTAGCACGAGCATTTATGCATCTATGTAGAAACACATAGAGGTTGGCAGCATAGCGAATATTTAACGGTGTTAGGTGCTGTCTAGCTAAGATGGGTTGGATGGAGGCAGAGGGAGGGAAGCCAAAGACAGTGCGGATCGCCCGATTCGCGATGCTAATAAGAGCGTTATAGGTGGTCTGTCGCAGGCAGTGCACGTACGCATTGCTCGCGTACTCCAGGGTAGATTGGACAAATGCAAGATAGAAAGTTCGCTTGGCTCTAGCACTGAGATGGTGGCGACAACGGCGAAATGCATTGACCTTGGCATTAACTTTACTTCGAATGTGACTTACTTGCTGTTGAAACGACAGATGCTCATCTATGATGATGCCCAGGTACTTGGCTTGCTGCGATTGCTGTATACGGCTGTTGCAAAACTGTAGGGAACAGTCTGCATGTACATTGGGTTTCCGTAGCAGCAGGAATTGCGTCTTGGATGGGTTCAGCTGTAGTCCATGGGCCTCCAGAAAGCTGCTCACACGGGTCAGATCATGTTCCAAGGTCTGTGTGGCAGTGGAAGGGGACGGGTCGGCAGCGTAGATGTTGGTGTCATCTGCATACAGGAGGCAGAGGGATGACTGTAGGCAGGCTGGTAGGCGCCTGGTGTACACCGTGAACAGTGCCGGTCCCAGGACAGAGCCCTGAGGGACACCGCGATTGGCCGTGTACGGGGTTCCAGGTGGTTGACGGAGGCATTTCACTTGCTGTGGTCGGCTGGACAGATAGCTGGAGAACCATTGCAGAACAGTGCCTCCTACTCCACAGCGCTGCAGCTCCAGAAGGAGCTCGCCATGCAGGACACAGTCAAAGGCTTTGCTGAGGTCGAGGAATGCTACAGCAACCACGTTGCCAGAGTCCAGGGACCGCTGCCAACTGTCAATGCATAGCGCCAGTGCGTCACCGCATGAATGACAGGAGCGATAGGCGAACTGTTCGTCAGGTATAACATCACCTGCAGAGACCATGAACTGCCGGAACTGGTCGTAGACGATTCTTTCTAGGACTTTGGAAACGATGGGAAGAAGGGAGATTGGTCTATAGTTTGTGGGAGCGTTTTTATCACCTTTCTTGAAGACTGGACAGATTTGGGCAAGCTTGTATTGTTCGGGGAATACGCCAGTGGCAAGGGAGTTGTTATAGATTTCCGCCAAGGATGCAGCTAGATACTTGGAGGACGCACGCAGAAGTGAAGCAGGAATGTCGTCAGAGCCGGTGGCTTTCCATTCGTCTAGCTTGCATAACCGTCGTTCCACGTCAGTCGGGGACACTGGCCGAAATGTAGTGAATCCAGTTGCTTTGCTGGGGCCTAGGGGTAACTGTGACCCAGTGTTCAGTGTAGGATCGCTCACTTGAGCCGCAAATACTGCACTTAGGGCCGGAACGTCTACAGGTAGAGTCGTCGGTTGTTGCTTCCGACCTAAGAGGTGGTTCAGTACCTGCCACTGAGCTCGAGGGTTGAACCGACTCAAGAAAAATCTGTTGGTGAAGTACTCAGTTTGCAGTCTGCGCTGTAGAATTTGACACTCTCGTCGGGCAGCTCGGAAACATTGGCGAGCACTGTCACTGTCGCGATCCCGGAGCCACCGTCTGTGTAAGTACGCTTTCCGCTGATATAAACTTTGGAGGCCAGGCGTGACCCAGGGTTGTGGTGGTGGATGAGATGACAAGGTGACGCTACGTCGAGGGCAGTGCTGATCCACAGTTTGTAGAACAGCATCGCTCCATACAGTGCTAAGTTGGTCTACTGACATGTCACTGCAGTCCGTGGCTCTGAGAGATTGAAGGAAGTCCGGGCCAAACTCCTCAGCAGTAAGTTGTCTGACCGGCGGCGAGCGAATCTTGCGGTGATTGAGCAAGACACGGTGCGGTTGACTGCCAGCGAGTGCAAGGATGAGCGACACCAGGAAATGATCTGAAACGCCGTCTAGTGACTGGACAGCTACTGGTTTGAGTGTTACCTCACTAGGCAGAGCTTGAGCGACAAGGATTAGGTCCAGACAAGTGTTGCTTGGGGATCTAGTGGGTTCTAGCACTACATTGTGGAGGCTGAGTGTGTCACAGAGTTCACTAAGGTGGCGGTGTTGAGGGTGCCGCTCAGGAGCCAAAATGTTTACATTAAGATCGCCAAGGAGGAACAGGGTCGCGTTACTACTACTGGTGGCGTGATCAGCCGATTCTGCTAGGTTCTGCCAGAAGGATACAGGGGCAGTAGGTGGGCGGTAGACGCAACCAATGCACAATGAAGTATCAGTGTTTCCTGCGACCGTTAAGAACAGGGCCTCGACAGTTGTGCTGGGTATGCAGGATGAGACAGGTATGGTTTCACGAACGAAGAAACAAACTCCGCCGCCTCTTGTGCCTTGCCTGTCATGACGGTACAGTATGTAGCCAGGTATATTTAACAGGGTGTCTGAAATGCTACTGTCCAGCCAAGTTTCACTAACAGCAAGAACATCAACTGTACGGACGTTGGGTGCATGGAGAATGCCAAATGATTTCCTGTTCTTGGTGAGCAAGACATGGTCTTACGCTGCAGAGCAGAATCGGCTAATTCCGGAGTATCATTCTGTCTGTATTTCTCTACGGCTACAGCTCCTACAGCACAGCACAGCCCTGACCCAAACTTATCTTCATCGTCGGCAAGTTGTGCAGAAATGAGGTGAAAAGGCACTCTTTGGGAGACTGCACTTTGAAGCTCATGTGGCGCTGCCTTCATGGCCGTACCAGTCCCACACTGAGAAGCACTCTTCAGGCTGTGTGATGGCCACTCAACCAGGCTCCGAAACACACACAACGGCTTGGTGAACCCAGTCAGCTGAAGCCATGCTGGGCATTGTTGGCTTGCCTCAACGGGCAGCACACTGTGGAACTCTCTAGCACCTGCACTACGATGCATCGTGTCGGCTTCAATACTCCACTACCAACATTGGTCAAAATCATCGGAGAGTATCCATTCATGGACAGATGTGTATGAACTGCTACACTCTACATGAATTATGGTACTAGACACAGGCCAGAAACCTGTTTTACCTATATTCTCCTCTATCTCTATCATACAGCCCAGATATCTGTTTTTAACTAACATGCTCTCTATCTCTCTCTATCTATCGATCTCTCTATATCTCTCTTGGCGTAATGTACATTTCTTAAGCAGAGCATCTGGTAAGAGGAGAGCGATCGCTCTCGCGCGCCTTCACTCTCATTATTCATTTTGGGCGCATTTTTCATCGCGTGCCTTGAGAATTTCGAGCGCATGCGCATCACTATGAAGTGCATTCTGCGAACACTCAAATATTTCGTAATTCGACTTTTCCTGAGCGGAATTGAGTGATCGAAAGGTCTATTCGCATTAGAAAGTTCTCAGCTGTTGGCTTCAACAAATCTGAAGTCGATTCGAGGTCGAATAGTGGAGTTACGGCACTCGCAAGGTATTTTATGTCCCGTTGCAAATTTTCACTTCCGCACTTCGATGGCAATCATAATTTGTCGTAAAGTATTTTCCCCTGTTGCACGACAGTCCATGCATGCATAGACCTGTTTGACGTCAGAGACAGGTCTTTAGCGGTCGGCTACAAAAAAAAAGGAGCCCTCTACGTATACGATGAGTACTACAAAGATACCATGGATCTTAGCGAATTGTCTCAATTTCTGGTTGCGCGTGTCTTCCCAGGACTATAGTGCCACTGCAGTAGCGCTCCACCTGGTGAAAATTCCACTGGTGTGTTCCGATAGCTTTTCAGTTGGCTTGAGATTGTCAAAATCGATGAAGGGAAACCAAAGTTGCGGTTCGAACAGCTTCCACTTGTAGTGCGTTCGGCGACTTTCCAGAACAAATTTGGCAGCTATCAGGTATTGAATCCGATTGGGTATGGCAAGATGTAGAAAAAGCCCGTACATCTATTGTGCTCGCCTTGGATAGATAAGGCGAGCTATGGGGGGGGGGGGGGGGGACTGCTCTCCCACCACTCTACTTGAGAGGATAGCGAGAGTGATTGTTCACTCTCCACATTATCAATATCAGTGGTATTCTGCCAACACCGATCAAGATTTGTTGAGCAAGATCTGCTTACGCTAGAAACTGGAGTGGCCCTGGTGGCTCCGGTTGCCGCACTAGAAGTCTGTCCTCTGCTAGCACTGACCATTGCTGACCGTCCAGAGTCAGTGCCACTTCTCTGAGCCTGTAATGTACAGAACAGCATAAGCATGTACACAAATTTACATGCACACACACACACACACACACACACACACACACACACACACACACACACACACACACACACACACACACACACACACACACACACACACACACTTGGACACACACACACACACACACACACTTGGACACACACCCACGTCAGTGTATGGTCGCAAAGACATGCACACATGCACGTGCATCCAAACAAACACTGACTAAGACTGTTGGCTGTGGGCTGTGCAAAATGGCTGTCCCCAGCCAACCCTGCACTAGTTATGGCTGATGTGAAGTGTGAGAAATCTCTTCCACTGGGGTACATGCAAGTTCGAAGGGTCTGACAGCGTAGAAACTAGAGCTTAGTGGGGTAGCATTTTCTCCGGGTACCGGGTTCGGATAGTTTTCTACGGGTAGCACGGGTACCCGATTGGGTAATGTTTCCATGGTAACACCACAATGCCCCCCTTCTCTTACACACTGGGTAGACATGCGGAGTATTACGTGAATGTATACACGTGCACTGAACATGATGTCATCTGCGACTTCAAGAGAGAATAGTACCCGTCTACCCGAGGTCCTCACGGGTAGCACGGGTACTGGACTGCCCATGCACACCACTAGGAGAAACATCCTTGTTCTGGTATTGAGACTAACCAACACACTCCACTCAAGTACTGCATTGCAATGTCAGAAGGTATTTGTGATCATGATGAGTTGCTTGTGGACTACGGAACCATAATTTTGTTGAAACACTCATTACTATTCTACAGAATGCGCTATACATGGCATGCCGTTGAAGATAGCGTCCCAATATTATGGTCACAAATGTAGATAACTGTCATGTGTGCTTGCAGACAACAACGCTTTGGTGTTTCATAAATATAGTGAACCAAAATTACTCAAATCAATGGAATGTCATGCTTCTCTTTCCTTCACACCCATTTGAGTCAAAAGTTGAAAGGGTGAAAAAACAGAAGTTAAAGGGAAAGTATACCCTAAATCAAATTTTCACCAGTTGTAGAGTTCGGGTGCGGAGTCGAATGGTTTGGTCGGAGGAAGCTGAGATGCTCCCAAACACCAACAAACACATATAAATACACTCACACAAACTCAAAAACCAGCACGCGCATACTCGACCACACGCATGCAAATGAGACTAATCCTGGCTTGTCCATTGACTACCATGCTATTTTCCCTTCTACAGTATAATTGGCATTTCCAACCAGTGACCATACTGGAGGTCAAGTATAGTAGCTGGTGAATACCAATCATTATTTTGTTCAGCAATATCTCCTTACACTGGAAGCTTGAGTGGCCCTGATGCCACTTGACTCCGTACTCAGCTTTGGTGCCAATCTTTGGACAGTTGAGCGGGTCAAACTCGCACATTGCACTGCTGTGCAACGCAGCTCGAGTCCTGAACAGTCCATTCAAGCTTATTGTATTCCGTGGCTTGGTAAGATCACTTTTCGAGTAGGCTACCCGTTACTGGATGGAAACTGCTCCCAATTGCCTTTAAGCGAACTTATTCGTCCAACATCATTGACACCAAGAACACGCTCCCGGTTTCTTTATTCACTGATCATCCACATGTCTTTGCCCTGCCATCCTCACCTTTCACAAAAGTCCCCTCTAGTTCCATTCTGTCTTCTCCTTCAAAATAATCCACTCTCCATTTTGTCTTCACTCCTCTAACCGTAAACTCTCATTGCGCGCAACCTCGCTGTAACACCGAGACCACAGGTTGGCGTTGTTGGCTTGCCTCACAAGCACAGGTTCTTTCTGGAAGCCCCTACTCTTCCCATTGCTGTGTTGTCCTGCTACATCTCTCCCCTCTTCTTACGAGTAGTTTGTGTTTTCATGGAAAAACTCCACACCCACAAACACACTCACACACAACCAGGCCTACCCACCAACCAGCCAGTCCATACACAAACACACGCAGACACCTGTGACCAATACAGGCTTGCTCATTGACAACCATATCAAAATTTCCCTCTACAGTATATTGTTTTTCCAACCAGTCACCGTATTGGGAGTGAAGAATAATAGCTGGTGGATACCAAACAAGATTTTTCTCAGCCGTATCTCCTTACACTAGGAGCTGGAGTGGTCCTGGTGGCTCCAGTTTCTCCCCTAGAAGTCGGTCTTCTGCTAGCACTGGCCATTGCTGATCGTCTAGAGTCACTGCCACTTCCCAGAGCCTGAAAAGTACAGAACAATACAAGCATATACACACATGCACACCCACCCATGCACACAACACACAGCACACCCATCCAAATGCACAGTTGCATATGCGCACAACACACATGCACGTCCATTGTCATTGCCACTTCATTGACGGTAAAAAGGACTGAGCGAAAATATGAAGATACAACCTCACACATGTGTTAAAGCACAACCAACACCCACAAACACACCAACCAGCACGCGCATACGCGAACACACATACACACGTGTGACTAATTCAGTCTTGCTTATTGACTACCATGCTATTTTTCCCTCTACAGTGCATGTATATAGGTTTTTCCACCCATCAATGCCACTGGAAGCCTAGTACAATAGCTGGTGAATACCAAACAATATGAATTTTTGTTCAGCGATATCTCCTTACACTAGAAGCTGGGGTGGTTCTGGTGGCTCCGGATTCTCCTCTAGAAGTTTGTCTTTCGCTAGCATTGGCCATTGCTGGTCGTCCAGAGTCACTGCCACTTCCCTCAGCCTGAAAAGTACAGAACAACATAAGCATATACACATACGCACCCAACCAAGCACAAAACACACAGCACACACATCCACATGCACATTTGCATATGCGCACAGCACACATGGACGTCCTGTGTCACTGCCACTTTCTTGACGGAGAAAAGCACAAAGAAACATATGAAGACAAAACTTCACACAAGTGCTTACACCAACCCAAATACCAACAAACACATCTAAATACACCGACACAAACTCAAAAACCAGCACTCGCATACTCGAACACACGCATGCAAATGTGACTAATCCAGGCTTGCCCATTGACTACCATGCTATTTTCCCTTATACAGTATAATTGGTATTTCCAACCAGTGACCGTACTGGAGGTCTAGTATAGTAGCTATAAAAAATAAATAAATTTCACGGTTCGCGTGAGACTCGGCTGGAAGCCGAGTTTTCCGCATCCGCCGTGGGAACGCCACCACCCTCTAGGATCAAAGGCGCAGATGCAGCGCCTGAACGGTGGGAGGTGAGTAGATCAGACCCACCACCAAGTGGTCAAAGACCGAAATCCCATAGTAAATCCCATAGTAGCTATAGTGAATACCAATCATTATTTTGGTCAGCAATATCTCCTTACACTAGAAGCTGGAGTGGGCCTGATGCCACTTGACTCCGTGCTCAGCTTTGGTGCCAATCTTCGAACAGTTGACCGGGGCAAACTCACACATTGCACTGTTGTGCAACACAGCTCCAGTCCTGAACAGGCCATGCAAGCTTGTTGTATTCCGTGGCTTGGTAAGATCACTTTTCGAGTACACTAGCTGTTCCTGAACGGAAGCTGCTCGCACCAACCTCGAGCACCTCAGGCGCGTTCAGCGATGGGCCCCGGCGTGCTGCTGCAGAGCATCGAGGCAAGGCGGACAGTGGCAGCATTGTCTTTCCTGCACAAGCTGCTGTGCATTCCAGGTCCCTCTACTCATGATTCATCATCGCCTCAATGCCCCTGCAAAGCCCTTAATTCACAGGCAATGTCGGCAAACCGATGGTAGCCCGTACGATTTACGAACACTCTCCCCCAACTGCTCCAAATTGTCTTTTAAAGCGAACATCATTGGCACCAGGAACACGCTCCCGGCTTCTCTACTGTAAATATACAAAAATTTCGGTGCTGCAAAATTTCGGCACTTCACGATTTTTGACATTTCGGCGGCGATTTATTTTCGGTGTGGGGTAGAGGGTATAGTGCGACAGATGCTGTGAAAATTTCATCAGCGTTTTAATTAAGGCGTGTTGGGTCGGTGCCGAATATAGCCGAAATTAAATAGCTGCCGAAAATTTGTATATTTCCAGTATTCACTGATCCTCCACACATCTTTGCCCTCCCATCCTCACCTTTCACAAAAGTCCCCTCTAGCTCCATTCTGTCTTCTCCTCCACAATAATCCACTCTCCATTTTGTCTTCACTCCTCTACCCGTAAACTCTAATTGTGCGCAACCTCGCTGTAACGCGGAAAACACTGGTTGGCGTTGTTGGCTTGCCTCACCAGCACAGGTTCTTTCTGGAAGCCCCTACTCTTCACATTGCTGTGTTGTCCTGCTACATCTCTCCCCCCTTCTTACGAGTAGTTTGTGTCTTCATGCAAAAACTCCACACCCACTAACACACCCACACACAGCCCCGCCTAACCAACAACCAGCACGTGCATACACAAACACATGCAGATACATGTGACCAATACAGGCTTGCTCATTGACTACCATATCAAAATTTCCCTCCACAGTACATTGTTTTTCCCAGCCAGTCCCCGTCCTGGGAGTGAAGAATAATAGCTGGTGGATACCAAACAAGATTTTGCTCAGCCATATCTCCTTACACTAGGAGCTGGAGTGGTCGTGGTGGCTCCGGTTTCTCCCCTAGAAGTCTGTCTTCTGCTAGCACAGGCCATTGCTGACAGTCCAGAGTCAGTGCCACTTCCCTGAGCATGAAAAGTATAGCACAGCATAATCACACACATTTACATGCACTCCCACCCATGCACACAACACACAGCACACGCATCCACATGCACAGTTGTATATGCGAACAACACACATAGACGTCCATTTGTCATTGCCACTTCATTGACGGTAAAAAACACTGAGCAAACATATGAAGATACAACCTCACACATGGGTTTACACACAACCAACACCCACAAACACACCAACCAGGACGCGCATACGCGAACACACATACACACATGTGGCTTATTCAGGCCTGCTTATTGACTACCATGCTATTTTTCCCTCTACAGTGCATGTATATTGGTTTTTCCACCCATCAACGCAACTGGGAGTCAAGTATAATAGCTGGTGAATACCAAACAATATGAATTTTTGTTCAGCGATATCTCCTTACACTGGAAGCTGGGGTGGTTCTGGTGGCTCCTGTTTCCCCTGTAGAAGTTTGTCTTTCGTCAGCACTGGCCATTGCTGGTCGTCCAGAGTCACTGCCACGTCCCTGAGGCTGAAAAGTACAGAAGAACATAAGCATATACTAGGGCTGAAACGATCGTGGATTTTCACGTATCGATTACTCTTTAGCTTAACGATCGAGCAATCGATTATAATCGTTAGCAAATAGTGTCATAATTCTATGCAAACATTACTCTGTTTCCACAAACTATGTCTTCATAATACCAATAAATCTGCATTAGTGAAAGAGTAGCTCTGAAACATGGCAGTTTTGAAGACAGTTTAACCTCAGAGCATGAACCATACCCCTGGCGATGTTAGAGTTATCAAACAAGTACTCGATTATTCGGTATATTCGTTTCAGCCCTAGCATACACACATACACACCCACCCATGCACACCACACACAGCATGCGCATCCACATGCACATTTGCATATGCGCACAACAAACATGGATGTCCATTGTCGTTGTCACTTCCTTGACGGTGAAAAGCGCAGAGCGAGATACGAAGATAAAACTTTTCAACCCAAGTGTGTACCACGCCCAAGAACTACCTCACAGACTGCTCAATTCAAGTGACCATCTGTCAACACAGCTCCAATCGGTTTCCCACCTCTGCAAGGATGCCACAAGGCAGTACACTCGGCCGATCTCTGTTCCTTGTGCACGTTAATGATGCTGACGGTTCCCTAAAACCAAGAACTGACATGGGAAAATGTTGGCCAACGACACCACTCTGTACGCTTATATACAAGCATGTGCAGACGCCATGATCCAAGCAAAGAACCTACCAGCTTACATAACCTGTATGCATTGGGATCAAAGTGGCGAGTGAAGTTAGTTTGAGCCATCGGCAGCCATGGCCCTCGTCTGCTCCAATGTTTGGTGGTGACGTCATCCCTCAGCAGCAACAACTGAAGCTTCTGGGCATCACATTTTGACTCCGTGCTCAGCTTTGGCCCCCATCTTCGGACGGTTGAGCAGAACGAACTCGCACATTGCACTGCTGTGCAACGCAGCTCGAGTCCTGAACAGGCCATGCAAGCTTGTTGTATTCCGTGGCTTGGTAAGACCACTTTTCGAGTAGGCTACCCATTCCTGGATGGAAGCTGCTCTCACCAACCTTGAGCACCTCAAGCGCGTTCAGCGATGGGCCCTGCCCATTCTGGGGCCCAGTGTGCTGCTGAAGAGCCTCGAGGCAAGGCGGACGGTGGCAGCATTGTCATTCCTGCACAAGCTGCTGTGTCTGCCAGGTCCCCTCTACTCATGATTCATCATCGCCTCAATTCCCCTGCTAAGCCCATAATTCACAGGCAATGTCGGCAAACCGATGGTAACCGGTACGATTTACGAATATTCTCCCTCAACTACTCCCAATTGTCTTCAGCGAACTGATTCGTCCAACACCATTGACACCAGGAACATGCTCCCGGCTTCTCTATTCACTGATCATCCACACATCTTTGCCCTCCCATCCTCACCTTTCACAAAAGTCCCTTCTAGCTCCATTCTGTCCTCTCCTTCACAATAATCCACTCTCCATTTTGTCTTCACTCTTCTACCCGTGAACTCTCATTGTGCGCAACCTCGCTTTAACGCCGAGACCACAGGTTGGCGTTGTTGGCTTGCCTCAGCAGCACAGGTTCTTTCTGGAAGCCCCTACTCTTCCCATTGTTGTGTTGTCCTGCTACCTCTCTCCCCCCTTCTTACGAGTAGTTTGCGTCTTCATGGAAAAACTCCACACCCACAAACACACTCACACACAACCACGCCTACTCACCAACCAGGCAGTCCATACACAAACACACGCAGACACCCTTGACCAATACAGGCTTGCTCATTGACTACCATATCAAAATTTCCCTCTACAGTATATTGTTTTTCCAACCAGTCACTGTAATGGGAGTTAAGAATAATAGCTGGTGGATACCAAACAAGACTTTACTCAGCCATATCTCCTTACACTAGGAGCTGGAGTGGGCCTGGTGGCTCCGGTTTCTCCCCCAGAAGTCGGTCTTCTGCTAGCACTCGCCATTGCTGACCGTCCAGAGTCAATGCCACTTCCCTGGCCATGAAAGGAACAGAGCGACACAAGCACACGCACATGTACAAGTACATTCACACCCACCCGTGCACACAACGCACAGCACATCCATTCACATGCATACTGGCATATGCGCACAACACACATGCACGTCCATTGTCATTGTCACTTCATTGACGGTAAAAAGCACAGAGCAAAATAAAAGAGACACAAATTCAACAAGTGTTTATACAAGCCCAATACCCACAAACACATCCAAATACAACCACACCCACCCACCAACCAGCACGTGCATACCCGAACACACTAACACACATGTGACTAAACTCGGCTTGCTGATTGACTACCATGCCAAATTCCCCTCTCTATCCCTTTTCCAGACCAGCAACATCCCTGGCAGTCTAGTACAATAGCGGATGAACAGGTGATACGTTCATTGACTGCAAATAAATGAGATAGTAGTGATGGTTGAGTGGTTAGAGCCCAAGAGAAGCAACAGTGATTTTTTAAATAGCCTACAGCACAGATTCTTGCTTGTGATGTGGATTGAAGTGAGGTTGCCGGTTTGGCACTGGAACCTACCTTGGAAGCTGAAAGTTGCTCATCGATGGAAGATACGCGAGCGGAAGTTGCAGTCACTTGTGTGCTAACTGCTGCTACGCGTCTGTTGGTCCCATCTAGCTGCTCACTGATGGATGCCTGTAGGTCTGTCTGTTGACTGGCAATTGCTGCTACATGTCCTTGCAGGCTGGCGACTTGTTCATTCACAGTCTCCACCCGGCTATGAATCCCTGTGGCTTGTTCGCTCGTAGCCTCGACACGGTTACGAATCTTTGACACCTGCTGGTTCGTGGTCTGCAGTTGGTCACGGATCCCAGTCACTTTTTCGCCTGCAGTCTCCTGTCGGTCACGGATCATGGTCACTTGTTGGTGCGTGGTTTCCTGTCGGTCACAGATCGTGGTCACTTGTTGGTGCGTGGTCTCCTGTCGGTCACGGATCGTGGTCACTTGTTGGTGCGTGGTCTCCTGTCGGTCACGGATCGTGGTCACTTGTTGGTGCGTGGTCTCCTGTCGGTCACGGATTGTGGTCACTTGTTGCTTCATAGTCTCCACATCATCATGCACCTCAGTTACCTGTTCGCTTGCAGTCTGGAGGCGGTCATGGATCTTGGTTACCTGCTGGTTCGTAGTCTGCAGTTGGTCACGGATCGCAGTCACTTGCTGATTCGTAGCCTCAAGTCGGTCATGCATCCCAGTCACATGCTGGTTCGTAGTCTGCAGTTGGTCACGGACAACAGTCACTTGCTGGTTCGTAGTCTGCAATTGGTCACAGATCCCAGTGACTTGCTGGTTCGTAGTCTGCAGCTGGTCATGGATCCCGGTCACTTGCTGGTTCGTAGTCTGCAGCTGGCCACGGATAGCGGTGGTTTCCAGCTGAGTGTCGACAAGACGCTGTGTTATGGTGCTGAGTTGGTCCTCTACTGCAGAGCTGCGTGCGGTGATGTCAGCGGCTTGCTGGCTTAGCTGCTGTGAAATCGACTCTAGTTGCCTGGTAACCGCTGTACCAGCAGTGCTAGGCTGACTCTGTACAACAACACAAAAAACACAAGCACCCACAAACACACACACATAGACGGACGGAAGGACAGGCAAAAAGGCACACAGACACATGGGCATACAGGCGACAAATTATTCAGTATACATCCATGATTCTGTTTTAAAAGGAGAAGTATACCATAAAATCAATTTGTTTTTCACCATTCGTAGTCTTCGTGGTGCTGATCAAATGGTCTTGGTCCAAGGAAGCTGAGACGCTCCCATCCTCCTTTATTCCCGGTCGAACTTGCCACTGCCACCGAAAGTGGGTGACTGCGCACTGCTACATAGGGTTTTGCATGCAAAAAATATCACTAAAAGCGCCACTTCATTCTTATAAAAGCACGGATGACCGTGATTGGCCCTCATGTTGTAGTCTTTTCTGTACATTCACCTACCTGTGCATATATATTTGGTAGTGCTGAAACAATTACGTTTTTTCCTTAGTGGCTTAACTGATACCATAACGATCGGCTTATCGGCTAAACGAGTATTATTGTAACTACATCAGTACATGTACATTCTGGGAATTTCAAAATATTTTACGCGTCCAACATCGCCAACGACGGAAAGCGGGCACATAGATTCGATGATCCGGCAACAAGTCCGTCAGTTATTCGGACTGACCAGACGAATACAGACAAGACAGAGGGGACGCACTGGTTGCAACCCAAGAGCGAATGGTGCCCTTCGCCTGTGACTTCGCGGACTCCGACGATGAAGTCAGAGAAGCCGGCCAGGGGTGCAGATCGGCGGATTTCGATGGATGATCTGACCTGAGGCGCGCCAACAAGTAACTGTTGCTTGTCCTGTCTATGCTCAAAATAGCCCCAGACGCCAGGCCTAGCTTGTCATCGAGCAAACTGGTTCGGGAACCGTCGACAGAACGGAAAACACGAAACTGAAGACCACTTTACTGTCTTTAGCTCACGACTACTCGCACGTGCAGGGAACTCTAAATACAGTCTAATGTCGAGCCAGCGACGACGGCGAACAGAGCGCAATCTACGGACGCAACGGGTGGCAGATCTGGCCCCTGCAGCTAGTGTAGACACATGCTGAGCCTGCCAGTCCTGCATTCTGTATGTAAAAAAAGTAGTCAGCTGAAAAGACGGCGACGGTGATCGCGTCGATGTTTCTCAGATCGCGCTTGTACTTTTACACGTACATCGATGGTGCAAGTGTACAGTCATGTACATATTCGTGTCGCACTCGCAACACTTTTGGTGCATGCATGCTTTGCGCGACCCCCAAAAGGGAGGAAGTCTCGTACCGAGCGTAAGTACCATTCTACTCGTTTAGCCGATATAATCGAAATAACCGCTCGATCTATTTCTTATCGAGTAAGTAACGAGTAATCGATATAATCGTTTCAGCACTAATATTTGGCATAGTGCATCCATATGTAAA